GTTGTATTAATCATTTAATGTTAAGTATTACTTATATTTAAATGTAAACGGTTCGCATTCACGTAACTTTCTATATAGGTATATTAAGCATTTGAGACATTTGATTAGTATGAATTTTTTTTAACCAGTGGGAAACGGACGTGTTTCATCAAAATAAATGTCTTATTTTATGAATTCCATTAATATCGTATAAATATCTACATAAACAGTATCATTTATTTGATCAACACATTATCAAAGCTGTACGTTAAGAACGACATTCAATATCACAATACGAGATATCATTGAAATATCAATCACATCAATCAAAAAGTAAGTACATTAACCCATAATTAAAACCAAAATCTAATATCCTGATTTTTAATAGTAATTTCAAATAAAAAATATCACATAATAGTACAATGCACCGATCAACAATAAATAAACATGTGATCTAATAATAATGATATCTTAGTGGCACAGTTTTAAAGAAACGGTAATAAATATTTTCTTAAATATTCAGGTCAGAGATGTTGTGGTGATGTGATAATATATCAATTAATATAAAAAATTTGTACAGTTCGGCATTGGTCTTGTTTAATTGTTTATGTTTTATTGAATATCTTAGTTTGTTAATTAAAATTTTGTTGATTCACATTAGAACATCTTTTGATTTTTTTTGTTTAATTAGGAATACAAAAGAAACAGATGGAATACAAATAAAAATTTTATAATAAATAAACGTGGTTGTTTAAGAAGAATAAAATCTAATTGGCATGAGTTTAATAGAAAGGATAATAGGAATAAATTGGAAAGGCGGTAAAAATGTATATGCATGAAAATATGCATCAAATATCAAAGACACGTCTGCAAAAATAATATCGATTGTACAATTAGACCATATAATGTTCAATAGTCTTCTCAACTTGCATGAGTGATTTAATAACATCTGTGTACAATTGATATTAATAATTACAGAGATATAATTATTAATTTATCTTAACATCTGGTCAATGACTTCTTTGAATTTGTGTTCGTATCACTTTAATAGTATGTAAATTTAAAATTTAAAATTTAAAATTATTTATTTGTTTTTTAAGAATACAAAAGTGCTTTGGGAAAATGAATAAATGTCTAGTAATAAGTAAACACGCTGATTGAAAAAATGTTAATAACTTTTTGGATAAGAGGATACGAAACGGTAGCAAATGTAATATATATTTTGTTAAGTATTCAAGTCAGAAACGTCATCATGATATTATAATATATCGGTTGGATAGTGAATAATGGTTTAGCAACTGTGCTCCAAATGGATGTTATCGTTCAACATGGGATTTAATTTGGTTGATAAAAAAATGATTTATCTTAACATCAAGTCATAACTTCTCTGAATTTGTCTTGGCATCACTTTAACATTATGTAAATTATTTATTTAAAATTTAAAATTATTTATTTGTTTTTTGAGAATACAAAAGGTGCTTTGGGAAAATGAATAAATGTCTAATAATAAGTAAACACATTGATCGAAAAAACGTTAATAAGTTTTTGAATAAAAGGATATGAAACGGAAGCAAACATAATAAATATTTTGTTAAGTATTCAAGTTAGAAACGTCATGATGATATTATAATATATGGGTTGGATAGTGAATAATGGTTCGGCAACCGTGCTCCAAATGGATGTTATCGTTCTGCGTGGGATTAAATTTGTTGGTAATAGAATGGAAGTTTTTTTCGATGTGTGATAGGAATGTTTATTTATAGATTTTATTAATTTACATTATAATATATTTAGATTGATGTTCGTCAAACATGTGTAGAGAATCCAATGAGTTTTAATTTTTATTTTCAAAATAAATTAAAAAGCATTTAATTTTTTACATGTGTAATAAATCATATAAGGAACTTACTAAAAATTATATTTCATATATACTATTTGGTAATCTACGTTACATCTTGGACATGTGATATTTTCTGGCGACATTGATCTGTCCTAATGTATACGATTTTGATTATCTTTGTCGTACATCCGAAATATTCTCCTTTTAATGAGAATTGTCACAGTTGGAGTCATGGACTTGAACACTTGCCTGCAATTTTTTAGTTTGTGGAATTGATTGGTTAGTTTCACTAATTTCATTTGAATTTTTACACCTCTACTATCGTGCATAGTGATTAGAGCAACAATGGTTTATCACATTGCTTGCTGGTTATTTTGTTTGCAAGATGCAATAAGTAGTTGTAATCCTCTATTTCTATCATGTTCTACGAAGAACAAATGTGTTCCAAGTAGTAGTGAAGCATCCTGATTTTCTGCTTCTGCAAGGATCTTTAGAATCGAAAGCCCTACTGTTGTGATTGTTGGTAGTTTGTGTCATTGTTTGAAGATGTTTCTTCTATGTAAGACTTCCTTTACGTTTGTTTGTTCATTTAGAGATTTGCACCTGTAAATTGTAAGGTAAATAATGGTTTTCAAACACAAGATCCACAATAATAATAATAATAAAAAAAAAGTGTTGTCCAAATAAAAGATCCACAAAAAAAAAAAAAAAAAAAAAAAAGTGTAAATAATAGTTTCAACAGTTGGTAATCATAACATCATTACCTGTATGATCAAGAAGTTAACAATAAAAAAGTGTGAAAAATATGGTTTAGTTAAATATCGATTCTAACATGTATTTGGTTTTTATGTATTAGAAAACTGTTAAGAACTAAAGGCACAAGTGATTCGGCATAATCCATTTCAATTGTTGGGAGTCCAAATACAGTTTTTTGTATGACTAACAAAACAATGAAATCAACAAATTAACAAAACATGATGATATTAGTAAAACTTGCGTCAACCGTACTGCTTGAAGATGTGAAAAAGATTCAGAGAGAGCAAAATCAGAGCAAAAATGAATGAAAAGAGTAACTGCTTTCAACTGTGTATTGTATTGGAAAACGTAGTTCATCTTTACAAGAAGTTCTCAATTTATACTTAGCTCAAAATTACACGAGCTGAACTTAGTGAACTGATATAACAGATTTCAGTTTTAGATTCAAAACTACGTTGTTTGTAAAAGAGCCGTCTACACCTCATAGCTTTTACTTCTGACAGTTTAATCCACTGATCTGATCTTTGCATGGTCAACATTCCCCCTCAAAGTGGACTGCACTGATCTGATCTTTGCATGGTCAACAGAAGAGTGGTGTTTTTATTCTGAATTACTTTTGCAATNTTTTAGCCAAGTAACTCAGCAGCAAACCTCTCAGCAGATTCACCAATATTTACAACATTTATTAGTCATCAATACCACATATTCTCCATTTCCTTTGGAATACACCAGTGCATTTCCTCCAAACATACACTATTACACCATCAATCAACATTTTCTCCAGAATACAATCACTACACCATCAATCACTTTCTCCAAAATACAATCACTACACCATCAATCACCATTTTCTCCAGAATACAACCATTACACCATCATTCTACATGTTCTCCAGAATACAATCACTACACCATCAANACAAGAAGTTCTCAATTTATACTTAGCTCAAAATTACACGAGCTGAACTTAGTGAACTGATATAACAGATTTCAGTTTTAGATTCAAAACTACGTCGTTTGTAAAAGAGCCGTCTACACCTCCTAGCTTTTACTTCTGACAGTTTAACCCACTGATCTGATCTTTGCATGGTCAACATTCCCCCTCAAAGTGGACTGCACTGATCTGATCTTTGCATGGTCAACATTCCCCCTCAAAGTGGACTGCACTGATATGATCTTTGCATGGTCAACATTCCCCCTCAAAGTGGACTGCTGTGTGTCTTCTGAATGTGCATCTCCAATTTTCGTTGGTCTTTTGCTTTTCATTCTAACAGATTTAGCCAAGTAACTCAACAGCCAATTTTCGTTGGTCTTTTGCTTTTCATTCTAACAGATTTAGCCAAGTAACTCAGCAGCAAACCTCTCAGCAGATTCACCCAATTTTCGTTTTTTAGCCAAGTAACTCAGCAGCAAACCTCTCAGCAGATTCACCCAATTTTCATTTTTAGCCAAGTAACTCAGCAGCAAACCTCTCAGCAGATTCACCAATATTTACAACATTTATTAGTCATCAATACCACATATTCTCCATTTCCTTTGGAATACACCAGTGCATTTCCTCCAAACATACACTATTACACCATCAATCAACATTTTCTCCAGAATACAATCACTACACCATCAATCACCATTTTCTCCAGAATACAACCATTACACCATCATTCTACATGTTCTCCAGAATACAATCACTACACCATCAATCACCATTTTCTCTCAAGAATACAACCATTACACCATCACTCTACATGTTCTCCAGAGTTCTCCAGAATGCACCAACCAACCAGTTCAACATCAATCAACATTTTCTCCATTGACCAAACATAAATGAAAGAAAGAACTAAAACTGGACATAATCAGCAGTATGTTATACTTCAGCAATGTCACACAACTTCCACAATACCACATATATCCGAAGTATCAACAGAACGCTTCAGCATCAACAAGCATTAATCAACAGAACTCTTCAGCAATAATATGCATTAATCAACATAAAAAAAAAAAACTTCAGCATCAACATGCACAAATCAACATAAAACTTCAGCATCAAAGAAAAACAGAGAAAGATATCATTTCAGAATGTGTGTTACGTTACCCACTCACTGTTGCTGTGAAGAGACAACATTGAGTTTCTTTCGTAATTCAGAAAATTGGGCTGTAGAAAGAGGTTTTGTAAGGCAATCAGCAATCTGAAGTTTAGATGGAACATATTGAATCACCATTTTCTTGGCCAAGACTTGTTCTCTTATATAATGGGCATCAATTTCTATGTGTTTAGTGCGAGCATGAAACACGGGATTAGCAGCCAATGCTCCCGCACTCACATTATCACACCATATAACCAGGGTATTATGAAGAACAACGCCTAACTCAGAGAACATACTTTGTAGCCAAGCCACCTCTGTAGCTGTGTGAGCTAGAGCCCTATATTATGATTCAGTTGAAGAAAGTGCCACTACCTTTTGTTTTCGAGAACTCCATTGGATTAGATTAGGACCCAAGTAAATACAATAACCACTTGTTGATCGTCTGTCTTCTAGACTGCTTCCCCAATCGGCATCGGCATCGGCATAACATTCAATTTGTAGGAAACTAGCTGGTTTGAACTGAAGACCATAATTTAAGGTGCCTTTGATATACCGAAGCACTCTTTTGCACCCTTGCCATTGAAGCTCTGTAGGAGTTTGTAAAAATTGACTCAGTTTGTTAACCGTAAAACTGATATCAGGTCGTGTTAAAGTAAGATATTGCAAGGCTCCAATAGTACTTCTATATAGACTAGGGTGATCAAATGGTGGGCTATCATTAGGGAATAACTTGGTACCTAATGCCATAGGTGTAGAACAAGCATTGGCTTCTAGCATCTTGGTCTTGAGAAGAAGATCAGATGCATATTTTGATTGCTTGAGATGAAAGACTGCTGATCTGTTTGCTTCCAAACCCAGAAAATACGTCAAAGAACCCAATGTTTTTAAAGCAACTGAACATTGAGATCCTGAACTAATTGGGAACATATTCACCATCAGAACCGGTGATAAGGATGTCATCAACATACACTAACACATAAATCAAACTAGATTTGTGATGGAGAGTGAACAAAACTGGAATCGGAAATAGATTGATGAAGCCTTTGTCCAGGAGAGCAGTTTTTAGTTATCAAACCATGCCCTCGGTGCTTGTTTAAGCCCATACAAAGCTTTATTTAATTACACACAAAAGAGGGATGTTCAGAATCTTCAAAACAGCAGGTTGAAGATATAAAACTGTCTCATTCAACTCACCATTTAAAAATGCATTATTGCACTCAATTTGTTGAATGTCCCATCCATTGGTCACAACTAGTGATAATGAGTCTAATGGTTGAAGGCTTGAAAACCGGACTAAATGTTTCAAAGTAATCCAAGCCAGGGGTTTGCTGAACCCTTGCGAACCAACCTAGCCTTATATTTCTGGTAAGGAACCATCAGCATTGAACTTGGTTCGAAATACCACTTGTTGCCAACCTATTCATAGCAAGTGAGGAAGGAACAGGGACCAAGTATTGTTCTTAACTAATGCTTCAAACTCACTTTGCATAGCATTTTCCACTCAGGAGCTGCAAGAGCTTCAGTGACAGTTGTGGGTTCAGCACTACAAACTGTTACTTACTGTGAATAGTAATTTAGGAGGTCTAGGAGCAATAGTACCAATAGGAATATAAACTGCTGTCACACCAGCAGTAGATGGACTGTCAACTGTTGTCACACCATTGGGAATGGAAACTGTGTCTTAGTGGTACCAATAGGTAACACAGCAGCTGATTTGGATCTTGTCACCATGGGATGAACATTAACAGTCGATGGACCTAGAGGTTGAGATATCATGGGGTTTAAATGAGACTGAGAATCTGCAGGGACAAGATCTGATGAGGCTCTTGCTAATGACTCATGTTGAGAGGAGAATGTAGTATACTGTGGTAGTGGTGAGGATGAGGGAATTTTGAGATCAACTTCTAATTACAGGTTGGTGGAATAAAAATGGGAGGTAGGACTGGTAAAGAGGATACCAGCTGAGATTTAGTTGGTAAAGATGGGACAGAGGGTGGTTTGAGATTCAAATAATGGCGAAGGTGAAATGAGTCCTGGTGATGCAGCAATAGGTGAAACGGGTCTTGGTGAGCAGCAGTAGGTTCTGAGGTATAATGTGTTGTTTGAGTAATATTGGACCTGAAATATGCTACCAACTGCTGTGATGTTAGAGAAAGCCTATTGGGAGCATTAAATATTGCGATGGGTCAGACCATTCAAGGAGGTATTATGAGAAATCACAGCACAGGGAAAGGGTGTCAAGTGCTGGGGAGGGAGTAGTGTGTGAGGGTTGACCAGAAGAAACATGAGCAGAAGGTTCAGAACAGAAATCTTTGCAAGAAAAAGGAATCAGACCCATTAAATTGACACTAGGGTGTACAAATATTTTCCATCAGTCTGAGGCATATATACCTTTATGTACTAAGATATACCAACAAAAACACACTTAGAAGAATGAAAATTAAACTGTGTGAACTAAAATCCCGAAGATATGGAAAACAAGCACAACCAAACACCTTTAGACTCTCATACACAGGATGTTTATGAAATAATTTATGATATGGTGAATCATAGTAAGAACACTAGTAGGCATTCTATTTATGAGAAACGCAGAAGATTCAAAAGCAACCACCAATATCTAAGAGGCATAGATGCATGTGCTAGTAAGGTAAGGCCAGTTTCAACAACGTGTCTATGCTTTCTTTCACTCTACCATTTTGTTGATGAACATGAGCACAAGAATGTCTAAAGATGATACCAGTTTCATTAAGATAAGGAATAAGAGCCTTAAACTCACACCTTGATCAGACTGCAAGCATTTGAGCTTCTAACCAAATTGTCTTTCAGCAAGGTGATGAAATTTAACAAAAATAGATTTCACTTCAGCCTTAGTTCTTAAAGGAAACAACCAGGTAAACCGACTATAATCATCTAAGAACTAAACATAGTATCGGAATCCTTCTATAGAAGGAAAAGGGGCAGGACCCCACACATCAGTATGAACTAATTCAAGGGGGGTAGTAGCATGGGAATGTGATGCAGAAAATGATGTATGATGTGCTTTTCCTAACTGACATGCATCACAAAATGACACAGTTGAAGAACTATCAGTTTTAGCACCATCATTACCTAAATTTGACAATATTTTGTTAAGAATAGATGCGTGAGGATGGCCTAAACGCTTATGCAAAGCATGTGATCAACATTGTTTCTAGACACAGCAAGACAATGCAGATCTGAAGAATTATGAACACAATTTTCAGAATATGAAGTTGACACATCAGAAAAAACAGGTGCAATAACATTTGAAGCAGTGTTCATGCCAGTATCACAGCACATATTAAGATCAACAATAGTATGACACATCAGATTCACAGAGTCAACCAAACACTGAAGTAGTATTCAGAAACATCACAGTACTTATTAAGGCCAACAGTAGTAGAATTTTGGGCAAGAAATGTATTGAAACACATGCTGCATATATAACCATCATTACATTTTGGAACTAAAGTAGACTGGTCTTTACTATTACAAAGGAAGTATTTGAAACGGTATAGGGAACATGGTGAGAACAGATTGAGCCCTTGGTAAACATCTTTGAGTATTGGACAAACAATTAGTTTCAGGTATACAAACTAGTTGGAGTACAATCAGACTTTGTACTATTACTTGAAAGACAATCAGGTTGGTAGTAGCAATAAAGTGGCGAATTGGGCTGTGTGAAAGCAGACAGGCAGATGGGATGTTGAGTTGGTATAACCCTCATTTAAGGTCCCCTTGCAATAAAATTGCCCTTGTGGACTTGTCTTTAACAACACGCAGTTAGAATCAAATTCCACAATCACATTATTATCTTTAGTGAATTTAGAGATGCTAAGGAGTTTTTTGTAATTTTAGGAACGCAAAGGATATTTTTAAGCTGCAAACACTTAGAATGTAAAAAGTGGTAAGAAAGAGTGACCAGTATGAGAAATAGCAAGAGACTCACCATTCCCAACCTGAAGTTCTCTTGCCCATCAAAAACCTTGCTGATACTCAACTGATTTAAGTCAGAAGCAACGTGATCGTTGCACCTGGTCCATATACCATACGGGGTCAACTGGAGAGTAGGCAGTTGCAAGAGCAGTTGGCTGATAGGGATATGTGTTGACACAATTTCCAGGGACACCATGATCGGAACCAAGTGAAGCAAAGTGTGCTTGACTATTGACTGATGGTTGCTGACTAGGTACACTGAAACTTGGTGACTGACTGAAATTTTAGCCTGAGATTCAGACTGAGAATTGTAAGCCTGCTGCTGAGCACCATAATATTGTGGTGCATTTCCTGGACGAGGATTACCAAATAATTGTTGTTCACCCTGAGAGAAACTGTGTTATGGCAGGATGATAGTTAGAACTAGTCTGCTGAGTTAATTGACCATGCAAGTTGTTGGTGGGAGTTGAGATGGTTGATCAGAGCGATAGGGATTCTGATGCTTTGAGAAGAGTTCATATTGTCTGCAAAACCATTACTAGGTTGAATTGAATCTGTGGTAACATTGGATTGCTGAATGCCCTGCTTTATTACAGACCTGGCAAATTAACCTATTTCTTCCATGTTTCTTCCTCTTCCTCTTCCATAAGCCCATTGACTAGGATATCTGGGACCAAAATAGTAGCCCATGGTAAAAAATGGTTGTTGCGTAGCTGGAACAAAGACTGTGCAGAAGGGACAGTATAGTTTTGAGGACAGTGAGGACTACTCAACGAGTTTAGTGAAGGCTCAATTCCAAGGAAGTTATCAGATACTGGTTTAGGATTACTATGATTAACCTGAGCAACTGAATTAGTACCACCAAAACCACGAATTATGATCAAAGAGCCAAAACCCCCAGAATTATTGGTCAGAGCCACATTACAGAACTGTTGTACAGATAATGGAGTTAAATTTTTCCAGACGTATTCATACTTTGGAGCAGGAATTGGGCTTCTTGTAAGGTAATAGAGTCAACTTTAGACTCAAGTCGGAGGTGAGATTAACCACCACGCATCGTACTCAGGCCCCAAACCATCTAAAACAAAGTATCAAGTCTTCATCTGATATAACTAAGCCATAGCAGCCAAGCTTCTGCAATCCCCTTCATTTTCTTCACATAATCTCTATAGTAAGATTCCCTTTTTGTGTTGTTTGAAGTAAGTTTTTGAGATGTAAGGCTCTTGCCTTTGATCAGTAATGAATTCACTCTCTAGAGCTAACCAAATTTCAGTAGAAACCTACATTTAGAGACATAACTGAACATGTCTTCTGAAATGGACGCCAACAACCAACTCACTAAGCATTTATCAGTTTTCTTCCACTGAACATATGCTGGATTAATCTTTCATAATTGACTCATCACTTGCCCTAGATCAGTACCAATTGAAGTTTGATCATTACCAACAGCAGAATTAGATATTAGATGGCGAAGGGCAAGGAAACCTACTAGAAATGATCTTCCAATTCATGCGATCCAACTGGAAGAGTACTTGTGAGCTAAAAACGGTAGTTATTCCGTGTTAATTTGGGATTTATGACCTGTAAGCTTGAAGCAACAACCGAGATGGCTCGATTTACAGAGTACGCATCATTCCTTCTGCGATAGAGGCGATGGAATTGATGAAGAATCGCTAGCCATTGACGTGAATCAAAGGCTCTGATACCATGTGAAAAAGATTCAGAGAGAGCAAAACAGAGCAAAAATGAATGAAAAGAGTAACTGCTTTCAACTGTGTATTGTATTGGAAAACGTAGTTCATCTTTACAAGAAATTCTCAATTTATACTTAGCTCAAAATTACACGAGCTGAACTTAGTGAATGAATAACAGATTTCAGTTTTAGATTCAAAACTACGTTGTTTGTAAAAGAGCCGTCTACACCTATAGCTTTTACTTCTGACAGTTTAATCCACTGATCTGATCTTTGCATGGTCAACATTCCCCCTCAAAGTGGACTGCACTGA